GCACAGCAACTATGTGTTTTGGTTTTAATTAAACGTTTTGTAGAATAATAAGCTTATATCGTAACTTTGACACACATGAAACATAATGTTGATACAGTGGGGGGTATGCTGAAGTAGAATGTGTCCTGAGGGTGGTCCTCTCAGCCAATGGGGTTGCAGGGGCATGTTCTATGCCAGTGGCACAGATTTTGCCAGTGCAGGCAAACTTGGTTGAAATGAACAAGAGCAGGCATTAATAATCAAGCCTGTACAGATTTGAATTCTCAATCATAGAGGGGAACCATTAAACCATGCAAAGAACTTTGCATTTAAATTGTTCTTTGAATGCTATACATATATATGTTATATAGCCATTGCCTTTACTAAAGAACCCTAGAAGAACCCCCTTATGAGGGTGCATTGATTTTGCCTTACTCAAAAGTGTACATCGTTTCCACGCTTTTGTCATTATTTATAAGTGGTATAACTGTGAAGATATAATAAATTTCATTCAGATATATATATTTAATACATCAAGTACATACAGACACGTGTGCTCCTCAGTGCTGTATGCTACAGATGTATCTATGACTATTTAAACACACAGATACAATAGAGAGGAATAGAGACTGTTCTATTTTAAAGCAATGATGGGACACGATTCATTTCTCACAGTGACAGGCATGCCTTTAATCTTTCATCCACTGCTCATTTTGTTCATTTCCAGAGAGCCTCATCTCCCCATCCTCTCACACCTTTAAAGGACACTAATGATCAGAGAGCTGCTGCCATGCCTGCTGCTATCCACTCTAACAGCACCAGTCTATTGCTCCAATCTTCTCCTTTACTGTCTGTTTCTTCCTCACTTTTGTCACTTTTCAGCTCCACTTATGCCCTCATCTTTCTAGTGGAAAGATCAGATCAGTAAACTGAAAGCTTGAGGAGCATAAAATCTTCTATTACACAATTTTGTTACTCTTCAGGCCTCTAGACTGAAGCACAGATACTATACAGATAGACTGTGTGTGAATGGGGTGAATGCGACAGGAACAGTGTGCATGTTTGCAATGTTTGCTAGAGGAACTAACTGAACAGACTGAATGGAAACACTCGCAAAAATGGTGAAATCTTGTTGTGTTTGGGGCTGTAATTTGAAACATACCCCAGTACATAAGGGATTAGGGTTAAGGTTTTTTCCCCTGTTTTTTCAGCTTTGGTTTCACCACTTGGCTCTGCTGTTGTTGTTCCAGCTGCTCTGCTTTAGAGCACATGGGTAAATAACAGCGTTTCTGTTTTATTGTCTGTATGCATGTGTGACTTTACAAGAGTTCATGTGTGTAAAATGTGATTGCTTTTATGCAGCTGTGACTACCTACAGAATAAACTCCTCCCCTGTCCTACCTAACAGTGTGTCGTTGTATGTGTGCATACGTATGTGGTCTGATATTTCCCTCTTTTGAGGTAAATGACCCAATAATTAAATAACCTTGATTTACTCTCTGTGAGGAAAGTGGGGGGGGTACTTTAGTAGAATTTGGTGGATTTTAAATTTGACTATCACTGACCAATTCACACAAATCCATGTACAATCACACATTCATTATCTGAATTATTGGTGTATAACACTATACAAAATAACACAAACCAAATCCGGGGGGACCAAATGCCTCATGTATGGTTAAAGCCCATTTCAATGTTAGTGTCTTTCCACAATTACTTGACAGCTTGATATGAAACTCCACTATATGAGAAATACAATATGATAAAAGGTGTGGATTTGATGAGGAAATAATGATTTACAACCAGAATTAGTATGTGTGAGTTCAATGTAGTATGTACGACTAACCATATGTTACATAGCTGTGTAAAACCACTACTACTGTCCATTTGATTGTGACTAATAGATTTCTACCTGCAATTAAAATCAGAATCAGAATCTATATAGGTCACAGTCATACTCTTGGACATATTCAGTTACATCTAAACTGAACTCAAGACAGTATCATGACAGCACATCAAAGCAGGAAAGTCACACTCTTATCCCCAGAAGTCACATTCATTTCTTCTGGGTTTCAGTAATAAGGATTTAGGAAACTAGAATAATCGGATTCTGCTTCAGCCCTCCGCTCCAGTATGCAGAGATTCTTCTGCCTTTGTTTCTATTTCATTTGGAGCTTTTGTTAGGCTCCCATGGGCTTTGGGAGGATAAGGGCTCTGGGCTCAGAGTGTGGTTAAGTAACCAGAGAAGGTCAGGTATGACACTTTTATTCAGAGGCATGAGCAGCTATCAGTGAGCAGCTAATATTTTACACCTGATATCTTAATCATTAAAGCATTACATAAGACACAAGCCACAGACAATTCAGATGAAAGAAATGACAGTGGCTGGGATTTAACATATATTACTCAGACTTACTAAGTTTAAAATGACACACGGTATAGGCTGATTGTGCCTTGAAGAATTGGAAGATACTTAAATTAGAGGGGAAGGTCCATAATAAACTCAGAGCACAGTGAGCAGAGGTCAGGACAAAATGAATGGATTATTAAATACATGCAAATTTTCCTCCTAAGCATGCAGATGTAGGATATTTGTAGTCGAGTATAATCAGGGCTGAGATTATGAGTGAGACCAGGCATCAGATGGTTGTGAAGGCAGTGTATTAGTCTTATGTGGTAATGTGGTACTCTATGAAATAAACGCCTGAGGCAGCTCCTCACCTCTTTTTCCCCAGAGAGCCATGAGCAGCCCACATTAGATTGTGTGTGTGTGTGTGTGTGCGCATGTGTGTGTGTTATGGAGAGAGAGCTTTGTTGTTCTATTCTCTTTCTCTCTCTCTCTCTCTCTCTCTCTCTTTCTTTCTCTCTCTCTCTCTCTCTCTCTCTCTCTCTCTCTCTTTCTCTCTTGCTCACTCCACAGATAATAGTGTCATAGAGCTGGTATGAGCATATGCAATATTAGGCCCCTTGGCGCTGAAAAGTGTGCTATTTTAATTAGTTCATTCCTCTTGGATGGCTTATGATGATTATATGGATTGGTATTTGTGCCTAATGTGTTAACGGAGGGCAAAATTTCTAATTTTTTGTAGTCACATTTTCTCAGAAATCTCATTAACAAAATGACTCATAGGATGGTGCATGTCATCTTTTTTTTGTACATCACTACATCATTATATATATATCAATGTCCAATTTTATACTAATGAGGGGATTGCAATGTGGCAACAGGAAACTTTAAGCTACAAACCATGTTTGGTTTGGTTTGGTTGTAGGGGTGTGGAGCTGTGAGACTGCTGGCTAAGCTGGTGCTTGCACCAAAAACAGCTCTACTCTACAGCACTAGTTACCATTTAACAATAATTGTTGTCTTGAATTGCTCATATATGTTCCCATTTTAAAGAACAGTTTCCTTTATAGTCTGTATGAGGTTCAAGCAGGACAATGTTTTTAATGTTGTCCTGCTGTTTTACTACAGTATAATTTACCAAATGTAATAGTATAGCATAATCAGTGTGGTGGGGGGAAGGGCATTGGGCTGGGATGGCAGGAGTGCACGTCAGCATTTCTAATGCGCATAATTATGCATAATTATAAACCTTCACATTCTTAATGAGTATAAATGTTTATCAATGCCCCTGTGTTATTTTTAGTACTTTCTAATTATACTAATTATTCATTGCTGGAATCTGAAAGATATGTTTGATAACTTACTATCTCACCATCTAAGACTGATCAAGCTGTGATTATATCTGCTAAACAAATTTCACAGCATAAACATAGTTAAAAATGTTCTTTTTTCTGAAACACTAAGGCAGTGTATCAAAACAGCAAAACATATCAATTTGGTGCACACATTCTGAGACAAAACCACATGGTAGCCCCATATCTTTTCTCAGTCAGAAGAAGTAAGCATAGACACATCCAGACCAAGCTTATCCAAATCCAGCTTAGCTACAGAGACCACAAATTACCCACAGACACAGAAACACCTCGCAACCCACAGGAGAAAGTATGTGAGTATGTGATCAGCAGTGGCTCATAGTGCTCTTTTGCGCGACCAAAAGACACAAGAGTGTCATAGCTTCAGGGAGCGTGGGTCAGCACATCGATACTATTGTACTATTAATAACACTTCATTGTAGTCTGTGGCTTCTACAGCTTGCCTGTTATTTACACACTAAATATGTTGCTTTAATGTGTATAATTAAGTGCATGTGTGCGTATGTTTGTGTGCATGTGTGTGTGTGTAGTGACTGATTAATGGGCTCAGAGACAGACTGACTGAAAAGCTTTGGCACCACTCTAACTTAAAATGATCTTGCTAACAAAGCCACTGATTTGATTTGTGGAAACTTCTTGACTCTCTTTTTCAGATAAATGTACATCTCCCTTTTAAAAATCCCTTAAAAATGTATCATCTTAATACACAACATGAGCTTTCCTGCTGCTGACAATCAGCAACTAAAAGCAGATTATTTAAGGCATCAACAAATCCCAGAATAAATCCCAGAAAAACCATACATACAAATAACCTCATGCCATATGTGAATCCTTTCAGCGAGTTTAAGTCCAGGTCTCATTAAACATTGAATCAAACTCTACTGACAGCACTCAGCCCTGCCCACTGGGACCACTGCTGCTTGTCCTTCATCCGGTTAAATCTTTAATCTGTCTCTCAGTGTATGGCTCTTACTTCAGAAGCAGCACTTGCTGTTGGCCTGAGACCAAAACTGGGACAGAAAGTTTCATTGTGATGAGTATTGAAATGAAAGTTGTCAGGAAGAGGAGGCAGGATGATCAACTTTGGGCGCTCACTGTAAACCGGAGGATTTATTCTAGAAGTTAAAATGAAATTTGGTGTATTTTTGCAGTTTAGTCAAAAATTTTCTCGAAAACTTTCTCTAAAACTTCTCACTCGCTCTTCACGCCCGCCTCCACAGAGAGACTCGGTGTGTGATCTGAGAGACTGAGCTGCACTTCTTTGTTTCAGTATTCCGCTCGTAAACGCTGATTTCTCCTACCTTGATGTCGCTGGAGGAGCGCCTCCGGCACTGGTTGGACGCTCCCGCAGTCTGGTTCATGTTTCAGCACCGTGGTCAGTTCCCGCGCGCCGCGCCGCCGTGGCCTGGCTGCTGTTGACTGGATGACAGCTCGCCGCGCGCGCTGCAGCCCTCCCGCTCTCCCGCCTATGACATGCCCGCGCGCTCAGCCAATCGTGCCTCGCGCTACTGGTGCGCCAGATGTGCGTTGATGTGCGCGGGATGAGAGTCTTGGGGGGGGATTTCAGACTCCAGTTAAATGACTGGGATCTTCCACAGTCTTTAGAGCTGCACTTGTCAAACGCTGAACGCTGCCAGCCCCCGCTTACAGCCTGACCCTCAGTCAGCACTTCATTAACTCATAGCAGGTGAAGCATGGAGAGATTGGGTCATTCAGCGCGGAGGCATAAGGCTAGGCAAGAGAAATAGAATTCAACGTTACAGTGTTTTATTAATATATCACATGATCAGATTAGGTTTACCTTAGAATTAAACCAAATCACATTTCTTGTCACATCACATTTGCACAGCGGCAAAAAACGTACACCAAAAATCTTAGGTGCTTTGCCCCCTTGTAGTACTTAAATATATTAAAAAAAATAGACTGTAAATATATACACGTATACACATTGTACACATTAGTATACACCAGTATTGCACCATTTCAATGTACAGTTTTTGTACAGTAATATAATTATATAAGTTATAAAAATTAAAGCAATGATGTGTACAGTTGTACACATTTCCATATATGCAATTTGTGAGTCTGGGTAGATAAATGAGATGCAGGGTACACAGGGAATATATATATATATATATATATATATATATATATATATATATATATATATATATATATTCCAGATTATACAAGATATGGATAGGTATGTCCTACAAACCTGACACAGCCCTCTTTGTATGGACTGTTTTGTTCTGTTCTCTTCCCAGGAAAAACATTTGATTGGCATTGTGTAATGGATTCCCAATAAAGACAATGTATCACCTAACACTACTGACAGTCTGTGGCAGCAATAGAATAGAACAGAATAGAATACCTAATTCTATTCTATTCTATTCTATTCTATTCTATTATACTATATCATTTTCTAGAATGGAATATTGTATTCGATACTACTGCATGTCTACTTAGTGTGACAACTGTACAGTTTGAACCCTAAATGAATGTAGATATACAGAACCTCAGTAGTGAAACTATGTAATATTGTCTTAAAAGGTAAGGAACAAGTACGCTCAAACACAGACACACAGTTACAGTACTGTCTTTTTAGGGTTTTGAACTGTGCCTAACTGTAGCTAAATATTACTATATTGCCTACACCTCAATCTGAATGTGACCTTGAAGGGCCCATATTATGGAAAAACAATTTTAAATCACTTTTTTGCAATAAAAGAGTTGGATACAGTATGTAATCATTTCAAAATGTCCATATATGGAAACTAAGTTGCAAAAACAGGCCATTTTAAATTTGTTGTTTCTTTCATATAACAAAAACCAACACATTTACATAAATCCACCTATTCAGCCTACAGCAGTTTAGCTCTGCCCATTCATGCTGAAGTTATAAGGAGTGTTTCAGTCCAGACTGCTTTTTAAATGAGGTGCAATGTAGGGCAGCCAATCAAAACAGAGACTATTTACATATCTCACTCTTGAAAGCAGACTAACAAAACAGCCTGTTTAAGAGATAAAGAGAGGATGAGAAGGGATCATGTAAAATGAATTCTTGTTAATGAATTGTTGTTGGTGCATAAAACATACTAAGTGGACCTCAGGGGAAAAACTGAAATGCAAGAAAAAACTGAAATGCATGAATAAAGAAATAAATTAATAAATGTCCAAAGGGAACGGAACAACACTATGGCTCTAATTCTGTGGTTTGGTAGTTTGATGTTGAAGTGACTGTCAGAAGTATTAAAAATATGAGAGGAAATAAAGTCCTGTTTTTTTTTTTTAAATAAATAAATTGACAGCCATAGCGCATACACACACACACACACACACACACACACACACACACACACACATTCATGCAAGCATATGCGCACTTCAAAACACATCAAGCTCTGCAGTGAATGCAGACATGCATCTAATTCTGCCTCCATGCTGAAGTGCTGAAGAGTACTAGTGCTTATGTAGCATTATTAGGCCCTCAGAGAGAGAGAGTGAGAGAGAGAGAGAGAGAGAGAGAGAGAGAGAGAGAGAGAGATCATTACTCCGTAGGCTGAAGCATTAATATTAATCCAACCTGCAGGCTACTCTCCGTGGCTCAGAGGTCTTCTCTTTCAGCTTTTACTCTTGTTCAAAAGCACTCTCTGTCTCTCTCTCTCTCTCTCTCTCTCTCTCTCTTTTGTGAGGATGTGCAAGCATGTGTATGTTCATGCATTCGTGAGCACTGACATTTCAGAACTAGAGCAGGATTGGTTTGATTATGAATAGGAAACGTCTTCAGTGCAGTGTGTTTCTTCCCTGGATTCAATGTTTCAGTGAGAGGGACATTCTACTCCTGTGCCATGTTTATGCACACAGAGACCTCTAGCACTTGTGATTTCATAGGCTTCTGCATTCTGTTCAGGTGCCAAAGCTCTGCTTCAATATGTGAATATTGCTATATTGAATGGCAGCAATTAAACTGCTGATTTAATCTATAATGATATTACTGAAGCAGTTACTGTGGCCTGTAGCTCAGTGCTTAGGTTAAAGTGTTAAAGTCAGTGTCCATTAGAAACACACACTTACATACAAGACACAGAGTCATTTGTCATGTTATACAGAGTCATCCTGCTCCTGTTCCATGTTGTAGCACATACACAGTGAGCCCTCATGTTGCTGTGTGCTTCTGCTGGCTGTTCAGAGGCAAGAGCTCTGCTGCATGCCTGCAGTGTGTGTTAGTGTGGGGGGATGGTCAAAGTCATCACACGTATTATGTCCTGCCAGAGCTGCTATATGTAAGCAGAATTAGGACCCGTTCACATATATCTGGACATTTTTGAAAACATATTTTTTTCATCCGTTTTCACAAACATTCAACCACGCCATGAAGGTTTTCTGAAAAATATCCATCCACTCGAGAATGCAAAAACGTTCCATTCCACCTTAAATGGTGCAGCAGTTACATTCAGGCACATGTACAGACTTTCTTTTTCTGTTTTCATATTTGTGGTGCTGCAATTATAAATATTTGAAAGGTGTTTTGAAAAGCTCTGTTTTTGGGCACCTAAAATGCTACTTTCATGTGGACAGGAGGCCAAAATGCAGAAAAAATGATGTTCTCAAAAATATTTGGATTCATGTGGACAGGGCGTTGGTCTTTTAATTTAGTATTAGAATAGAAGCAGTTACATTTACTCAATAATAGATTTGTACTTTCCTGAGCATTTTAAAATGCTTTTACTTCTACTTAAGTATATTTGTGAGGAAAGTAACCTACTTTTTATTCAGTTACATTTTACATTTGTCATTAACATTTAGTCACTGATTCTTTTATGGGGGTTTAATTTCCTTATGTGACAGCATCTGCACTACTTTTTGACTGGTCCCCCATCTGACATTTGGGGTTATTATTATTATAATTTAGACCGAGAACACATCAAAAAGAAACAAACTTCAGTTTCATATGCTGATAGATACTGGATGTTACACTGCACTTCTGTAAGTTATTACTCAGTACTTAGTCAGCTTTTTGGCCTCTTGCTTTTGACATTTGTACTTTGACTCAAGTTTTTCTTTTTTTAACTTTTACATACTTACTTCATTTTATATCACCAAAGTAATAATAGTTTTCCTCACGTATTGGAAGAGGTGGAAAATATTTGACTAATTACTTTTTACTCCATACATTTTAATTTAGACCTTAAAAGTGCTCATTCTAAATCTCAAAGGCCAAGAGATTTGGCTTTTTTTCTCCTGGCTTGTACTTTTCTCTCTCCCTCTCTCACTTACTCACTCACTCACTCACTCACATTTAGCAAGCTAAAGATTCTTTGCATTTACCACTCACATGGCTTTTGGTGCTTTGCATCAATGACACTGTGTCCCTGTTATCAAAACATCCAACCAAATTCATATAATTGTAAAATAAATCTGACCACCAATATGACAATTTGCCTTTGTGCAAGAGCTTGTGCCAATGATTAGTCAGCATACCACACACCACCGCATCACCCAAATATATTTTTGGCTCCAAACTTTCACTTTTGAGAAGGATTCTGAGGAAGTACTCATATTCTAACTTCAGTACAGTCTCTATGAATGTTTTCCACCCCTGAGCAAGGTTGTGTAGTAACGGAATACATGTAACACATCTTACATAGTCAGGACACAAAAAAAGTACAGTAATCAGATCACAGGTATGAGGTGAAAGAGGGGTGATTACTAACAGGATTACATTCTAAAGCAAACTCATCAACTTCTACAGAAATTTGCTATTTTAATGGTAAATATGTCACATGAGTTGTGTAGATTTAAAGAGTTTTTAGTTTGGGGGGAAGGGGGGAGACAGTCCTGCTGCCAGGAGAGAATTCTGAAGAGCCTCCCAACGCAGCCGTTCGCAGTTTTATTCAGCCAATATATAGAAATTTTAGTAAGTATTTTATTTTTTGTCAGAACAGAAATTTGCAGCGTTAATGTGTGTAAATGATCATTATTTGTAATTAAGTCGATCAGCTCCCACCTGTTGTTAATGAGGGGTCCTAAAATAAGATTTATACCAGATTGATCTTTTGACTTCGACATGATAAACAGGTTTTTTTTACAAGGAAAATAAGGAAAAATCCAAGGGGAGCAGTATAGCACTATATTACATTTAATCCAGTGTACTGGATCATACTACACTGATTTTGGTCTAAGAGCTTTTAGTCTAAGAGCGCCAGTTTTTTTTTTTTTTCCTGGGAAGCAAATCTTGACTTCTGAACTTCAAGGTTTGAGTATACATGTCTAAACTGAAACAAATTATACTGTTATACAAATTTGTCATCTATATGTTTGAAATGCATTGAAATTTCCACATATTGCTCCACTTAGGTTTGGCCGTTTCACTAAATGTAAGATAAGTGACAAT